TGAGAGGCCCGCGTACCGCAAAAAAACCCCCCAAAAACCCAAAAAAACCCCTTGAGTCTAAGGATTCAACAGGTTAGAAATTAGAGGCTTTTCTTTTGTTTTCCAGAAGGTGGTGCTATAGCACAAGTTTTTGGTTTCTCTTGCTTGAGCTACTTCTAGTTATATTTGAGAGCCAGCACTTTCCACGCACTGCCTTTGCCAGAGTTGATGCTCAGTGCCCTCACTGTCGTTGCTGTGCTCCAGGGTCATTTGTGCCTTGCTGCTGCTGTTGTCTCTGGCATCACTGCCTGGGGTACCAGGATGGTGGGCGCTTATGTCGCATCTGGAATTTCCTGAGCCACAGGCTCCACCACCATAGGGAGGAATGGAAGGTTGGGGGGTGCCTGCCATGTCCAGTGTTGTCAGGTTCATAGGCTGCACTGGTGTGGTCAGGGAGCGCGGTACCAGATTCTCGGGTGCCTCCTCGGCTGGAGGGATGGGAGCACAGGTTTTGCTTCCACTGCTGCCAAGTTATCTGTGACTGTGGGCACTGCTGTGGCTGGGAGGCCAGAGTTGTGTGTGCAGCCTCCCCTGCTGCTACCAGGTTTTCTGGGGCTGTAGGCTCAGCTGCTGCAATCGGAGGGCCCCAATTGCAGGCACCACCTCTGCTATTCCTCCAGTTCCACCTCCTCTATGTGTTCCAGTTTAGCCACCTTTAGATGTACAGATATGTGGAATTCTCCAGTGTCCCAGTGTGTTGGGCAGAGGAATCTTTGTTGTTAATGTTTTACTGGTTGTAGATTGAAGAGGAAGAGATAAAGAGAGCATCTCACCCAGTCATGATGTTGATGTCACTCTGCTTCTCTAATTTTTTTTTTTTTCAGTACGCGGGCCTCTCACTGCCGCGGCCTCTGCCGTTGTGGAGCACAGGCTCCAGACGCGCAGGCTCAGCGGGCATGGTTCACGGGCCCAGCCGCTCCGCGGCATGTGGGATCTTCCCGGACCGGATCACGAACCGGGTCCACTGCATTGGCAGGCGGACTCCCAACCACTGCGCCACCAGGGAAGCCCTGCTTCTCTAATTTTTATTGTTCAGATAATCGTTTAAAAATTTTGCTTTTTAATGTACACACATACTCATACATGTGTTTTTAGTATTTTGGAGAAAAATCTATTTTTAAACTTAACTTTTGAGTAGCATTATTTATAGGCCCACCAATACGATAAAAATTTTTTGGTCAATAAATTTTTAAAAAATTATACGATTTAAATTAGCTTAGCACCTCCTTTTGTTCTGGAACACAAAGTGTTCCAGTTTGGATGATAAATTATATGGCTGAACAGTCTTCTTGAAGGAAAAAATGGCTAATCCAATTTTACCTTTTAAAATCTGTTTAACACTTAGTAATTTTGTCCATTCTCTTCAGGGAAGGAAACCGAGAAAGCTAATTGAGGCAGGGATTGCGCTTGGTACTTTGTAAGTATGAAATATGTTATCAATAACTCCATTTTAGGGATAAGGAAATGGGTTTATAGACATAAAGTGGTGGCCAGGAACATGACTAGTAAGCAGCTGAGGTGAAATTGAACTCCACTGGATTTACCAGCTTCCCCCTTCTCCTGCCTTAGCATCTAGACTGAACCACTCTAATTTAACCTCCATGGCTACATCTATCTCATTCAGTGGTTACCTCTCATTTTCCTTTTGCCTTTTCCTTGGCCATTCTCTTTTACAGCTTCAAATTTCACCTTTGTTTAAATGTCTTGATATGACAATTAGCCCCAAGTTACTGATGACAATGTGTAGCTTTCATCAAAAACTCTTCATTCTAAACCCCTTTCTCACCTGAGGCAAGATGATGCACACTTGACCACAAGTTTTGTTTTTTAAAGATTTTTTTTTATGTGGACCATTTTTAAAGTCTTTATTGAATTTGTTACAATATTGCTTCTGTTTTGTTTTTTTGGCTGTGAGCCATGTGGGATCTTTGCTCCCTGACCAGGGATCAAACTTGCACCCCCTGCATTGGAAGGTGAAGTCTTAGCCACTGGACTGCCAGGGAAGTCCCAGACCACAAGTTCCTAGAGAGTATTGTCTTTTAGAGTATGGTGTTTTATATGGGAAACATATTTCATTATCTCCCACCCGTTAATCCTAGGGACAGAGGTCTTCTCAATCCCAGATTCCATAGGCTTATGAATGAATATGTTTGATGCTAATACAGCAAATAGATTTTAATGGTACTCAGCATCTTGGCCTGTGTCTGGGTAGCCATAGTTACGTCTTTTGTGGAAAGCCCTGAAGAGCAGGGTAAAGTGTCAGCAGGTTATCTCCAGGGTAATCTGAAGATACCAAGACAATGTCCTCATCTGCCTGGCTTCACACAGTTCTTCTGTGATCTTGATGCTCTGCTTCTTGACATCACAGATGGCAGACAATGATCAGCAGCTTCTTTCATCTCACCCAGCTTGCAGATGGAAGCAGCTCTAGGTTAGTTGCTCAGCAAGTCAGTTGCTAAATGGCCAATTTAATGAATTTGCTTAAAAAAAAAACTAATTCATTTTAGCTTACCAGTTTTAATCTTGTCTTTTTAAAAAAACATTAAATTTGTCTCTCCAAGATTTCTTGCTGCTGTAGTTATAGACCAATAGGACAGTTGAAGAGATATAACAGCCATATTCAAGCATATGATCTTTAAAATATACTTGAGTATGAAATATTCTCATAAATTTTTGTGAATATATACTTTTGCTGTCAACCAAATGAAACAGTTAAATGAGTAAATTTAGCCCGTGGCTTTCTATGAACTTCCCTGCTGCGTCTGTGTGGCAAGTTTGGTGTAGTTCTAGACTGATCTGTTCATAAGTCCCATGACTTTCCTCCTCTGAAATGTGTTTGCTCAAGTAAGCCCCTTGGCATTCTACATGTTTGCTAAGGATCAATGGATTGTTTTCGTCTCCATCTTAAAACATATTTACCTGGCGTTTTTGCAAGTACTTGACAGCCCCTCACCCCCATTATGTTTATCCAGCACAAATCCTTGGATACCCTGCTGGGTGTAGGTCATTCCAAGCCATGAGCACTGTGATCACTTAATGTTTCATTAACACTTTTCTGTTCATGCTCACATCTAAGATACCTCATGGTTTCAATTAATAAAGTCTCTGCAATGCCAGGATATAAATACACACAAGCAAGCAGTGAAGCCTAACTAAACAGTGAGCATTTCCAGAGATAGTAGCTTTGGGGTTTAAGTTTCTGTCTCACCACTATTGATATGTGGGGGTGGACAATTCTTTGTTGTTGGGGGTTGTCCTGTGCATTATAGGATGTTCAGCATCATCTCTTTCACCCACTAGATGCCAGCAGCACTCCTTCCTCAGTGCTACCAAAAATGTCTCTGGACATTGCCAAACGTCCCATGAGACAACATTGTCCTCAGTGTACAAATACTGAAGTTGATTTTCAGTACAACCCTCTCACAGGGAATCCTAAAACGCTTATGTAGGATTTCACCATAAAGCACAGTGTTTTACTTCACTAACATCACACAAAGATGATTGTCAGCTCAAAGGATTCAATGATGGCTCATAATATGCTAGGATATAGCAGATAGCTGTACAAAGACTGTTTGAGGCTACAAACCTGATCTGCTATTATCTTTATTACATAAGTGGTTATGTTTCTAGTTGAGCCCTCCAATGACAGCTTGTTTAGATTGAGGATGCCTGCTCAGGCAAAACATCATTCAGGTCCACAACTATAGAACAGTTGCCAGTTTGGTTAATGAGTTCCAGGCACAATCTGATTTTGTTTTATGATTTTTTCCAATAATTTTTTTTAAACAAAATAGGCTACAGGAAATCAAACTGCACAAGCATCACATCATCACCATGTGAAAAACACTGCCAAAAACAATACTGCATGGGTTAAAAGTAGATCCTATGGGCTCCATTAAAAGGTTTGAAATCCCTTTTACAATAAAAAAATACCCACTCAGGCTTAAGAGATTAGTTGTAAGAACATAATTTCATTTTTCATCACAATACTTCTACAACTTTTAAAAATTGAGGTACAATTGACATAGAACATTATATTAGAATTTTAATTATTTTTTTTAAATGCTATATATGCTATCTTCTAAATACCACAGCGGAGTTGGTGTTAATGAGCCTAATTTTCCAAGAATAAGTATCAGGAGTAAGTATTCCTTTTTTTTTTTGTTTTAAACACACCTGATAGAGCACTACTTACAGATGAGATGCTTTAGCCAGTGGGAATCACTCTCTTCATAATCTTGTTATTTATTATACATGTGGGAGGGGAAAAAAGAACAAATTGTTCCAACTCCCTACATAATTGAGGTTGGGTCTATTTTAAACAAAGCCTTCAGTTCCAGGTTTAAATCAACTTAACCTGGATCTCCCTAGAACTGCTAATTCAAAATTCCCTGAGGTTGTGTCAAATGAACTCCTGCTGAAAAATCCTGGCACTGAGAGGTGCACAGAGAGATGATGGGCAAGACTCACTCCCATGACACCCTCCCTTTCTTTCCAAGCTTCCTGCTTGCACCCCTTATCCTTTTTAATCCATGTCCTATAATTCTTAACTCAGTCTTTCCAGTCTTCCTAGGATAATTTAAATAAGATCAGGAGGGGTGTGTGTCTGTGTAATTAGCACATAGGATATATATGTTTTAATTTTGTTAATCTATCCTATTTCCTTATATATGTGTACATATATATATTCCATATATATGCATGCATGTGTGCATGACACGTACACACATACAAACACTCACAACCCCACTTAGGAGGGCAAATGTTTGGTCAGCTTATGCTCCCAAATCACAGGAAAATAAAAGATGTCTGAAGACTTAACTTGGGAATGAGCTAACAAGTACTTTTTTACTACAGGGGAATTTTTTAAAAACAAAAACCACCCCCAAAAATTACAACTCTTTAAAAGCTGATATGGCTCTTATAAAACATTTGAAATGGTAAACACCCATACACAAAACTCACAGATTCAACTATATAATACGAGTCAATTAACATAAAAGAAAAATAAGTCTGTTTTCCTTTTGATTTTATACAATTTAATTATTTTATCTTACACTTTTAAAATTCATTTTGGACCTAGCACGTCCTGGCGTTTTATACACTGACCAAACTGCTCTGCTAGAGACAGTCAAGTTCAATAGCAGTTTCCTTTCACATTTATCCATTTTTGTTTAAGAAATATAAGGAGTCTGTTTCACTTTTTATTTTATATGACAATCATTTTTATTATGAATTTATTTAAATCACTTTGGACCCAGCATGTCCTTAGGTTTTACCCACTCATCAAACTGCTCTGCTGTGAGATAGCCAAGTTCAATAGCAGTTGCCCTTAAGGTCGATCCATTTTTGTGTGCGGTCTTAGCAATCTTGGCTGCTTTGTCATACCCTAAAGAAAAAATTAAAAGGCGATGTAGGAGTTAATAGTGAAACTTGGTTTTCTAAAGCAAAAGGTAATCGTTATTATTTACTTAATGCTACTGGTCTCTTAAGTAAACATTTTTTAATCTTAAAAATATTTAGCAGTGGATTATCTTGATAGTTGTCGTTTCTTATATGGACTAAAACCTTTACTTTTCTGAAGTAATACATACTTCCCTTTCTACAAGATTTGTCCCTAAATTAAAATTGCCCACTAACCCAGATATTTTCATAAGGGGGAAAATATATACACATAGATGCATCTCTCTCTCGATATATATGTATACACATACACAAACACGCACACACACATAATGGAACCAAAAGATAAAAGTATACATCTGACTAGTATAAATGTGCTGTTTCAGTAGCATGCTTAACCAGAAAAATTATCTTTCTAACGAAGCATTAACAAGCTCAATGCTGCAGCACTACAGAAAATACAGGACTGTACAACCAGGAACTATATGGTAAAGGGCTCTAAGAGGGAAAAGAGAGGAGAGTCCTCTCACAATGAGGGAAGAGCTGGCAGGGCTCTGAGAGATGAGCCTTCAGGGCTGCTTCCAACATCTCTCTCTGGTTCAGCACTCCATGCCCTGGCCTCCTTCCAGACATTACAAGGGTACAAGTTGGGAAGTCTTAGTATAAATATATACTTGTGCAAGAGATCACAGGTCTACTGTTTACTTCAAAGTTACTTGCTTTTAAAATTAATAAAGATAGGGGCAGGGCAATTCTGCAAGTTATCTCGGTTTAATGTTAACAACAACAAAAAAAGAAGGCAAAAACCAGAAAGAAGGGAAAAAACAAAAATGAAACCAGTGAAAGAGAAAAAAAACAAAAACAAAAAAAACCAACCCAGGATTAGAGGACTATGACCAGAGAGAAGAAGCCTACTGAAGCAATATGATTATTGACCAAGCAACACGTTATGTGTCATGTGCAATTATCAACCACCTACAAGATGTTATGTGTAGTATGCAATTAATCTACCTATAAACATATTATGGACATAGTTAATAATAAAATTAATTTGTGAATGCTAAGCATGTTGAAAAGGGCATTTACTGGTCAGACTAACTTTGAGAGAAAGAATTCTCATGTCAAACCTTTGGGGTTAATATTAGACATTCTGTACTTTTATGTTAATAATGACATTAAAGTCTATGCATTATGCTAACCCTTTCAGTTCTCTTCTTCAAGCCCCACAAAACATGATTACCAATCAGCCTGTTATATATGAGCACAAACAGAACCCATGATGTGGAGTTGTAAGGCTCATGCTTTGTCAACCAGTAAGGTGTGGTTTGCCCACTTATCCTTGTATGGCCTTTACCTCACATTAAATTGTCTAAGAAAGACATCAATCATTCTGCTTTAGGAGTATCTCTAAATGCTTTTGTAACAAATTCTGAAGTATATATGTGATGAAACATTTCTCACATAAGCCTTTGGGTTCCTCTGTATATCTCTCCAGTTGAATGCTGATGTACAATTATTTCAAAAGAACCCAGTATTACTGTCAATCTTAATACTATTCCAAAGAGCAGATAGCATATTGGGCTCAGAGCTACCTGAAGCAGTTATATGAGCTCTAACTTTATAAGACTGAAATTACAGCTTGACATGAAGCCAAGAATATAAAATCAGCCTTGAAAGTTCAGGATTATTGAAGTAAGACTGTTTTAAAACAGTAATCATATCACACCAAATGACTGCATCATAACTTGTTCTAATGTAGAAAATCAAAGAATATGTTAATAACCTCAGCTCAGCAGTAAGGAGAAGGTGGGAAAAGGCTTTTAACACATTATAACAATGCAATGAATGTTCAAAATCCATGACAAAACAGTGTATTTAATGGGGATCACTAGTCAATCTATAATCCAAGCTAACATTTTTGAATCTACATAATGAAATATTTATAAATCTGGAAAAGGCTTGCAACACAAAAGCCATGGTTTTAGACAAAATATTTGTATTTCCCCCCTTTCCCTATAAGCTATGCATATATAACCCTTTTTCTTTTAATTTAATCCACTTCTGAGTTGAATAAAACAACAAAAACAAAGTATAGTATAGCATCTAGAGAAGGTAGAAAAACGAATTCATTCAGTGTTGTTAATCAGCCAGTGCCACCTAGTGACATTAAAAACTGAGAGGACACTTAGTATCTGAATTTAGTGTCCCACAGGATCTGAATTCCATTAAGATTAAAATAAGTTTAAAGTTCTACTTCTGAACTTAGCACATTTCAAATAAAATGAAGCATAATCAATCAAGATTTTGAAAGAAATATGATACCATAAAGGTTATATATATATATAGCGTCTTTCAACACAATGTGAAATGTCTTAAGAGATTGTCCAAAAGACATCTGTTGTTCACAAACATTGATCCAGTAGTCTCTTAAAAATTTTTCAGCCTTTAACTGTATTCAAAATGACACTATTATTCTTTAAACACATACCTATATGAGGATTAAGAGCTGTCACCAACATTAGAGACTCATTCATTAGCTTGTTGATCCTTTCTGTGTTGGCCTGGATTCCCACCACACAGTTTTCTGTGAAGGAAACTGATGCATCCCCCAACAGTCTGGCTGAGTGCAACACATTTTTAATCTAAGAGAGAGAGACAAACTTATTAAGCCTAACTTTTTTCTTTGTCCAATAACACATTATTTGCAATTCATAAATGAGTATGTAATACAATTAACATACAGCACTCCTATAACCTATAAGGCATCATACCCAAGAAAACAAATATGAAAGAAATTATAAACATCTGAGGGCACCAAAGTGCCCTTTTAAGAGGTATAAAGGCATAAATACAAATAAATAAAACACAAGATAGCCTGTGGTGTTATAAAATACAGGTATGAAATGTTAAAGAGCATAGAGAGAGAAATAAATTCCAGTTGTAGGAGTTGATAAAGTTTTATTTGATGGAGAGCACTTAAATAGCCAGAGATGGAAAAAGAATCTTCTATGCAGAAGGAAGAGAAACAAAGATGCAGAGGTTAGAAAGTTCAGCGTGAGGAGATTGGTTCAACATGGCAGAGTAGAAGGACGTGTTCTCACTCCCTCTTGCAAGAACACCAGAATCACAACTAACTGCTGAATAGTCATCGACAGGAAGACACTGGAACTCACCAAAAAAGATACCCCACATCCAAGGACAAAGGAGAAGCCACAATGAGATGGTAGGAGGGGTGCAATCACAATAAAATCAAATCCCATAACTGCTGGTGGGTGACTCACAAACTAGAGAACACTTATACCACAGAAGTCCACCCACTGGAGTGAAGGTTCTGAGCCCTACATCAGGCTTCCCAACCTGGGGGTCTGGCAACAGGAGGAGGAGTTCCTAGAGAATCAGACTTTGAAGGCTAGTGGGATGTGATTGTAGGACTTCGACAGGACTGGGGTAAACAGAGACTCTACTCTTGGAGGGCACACACAAAGTAGTGTGCTCATTGGGACTCAGGGGAAGGAGCAGTGACCCCATAGGAGACTGAACCAGACCTACCTGCTAGTGTTGGAGGGTCCCCTGCAGAGGCGGGGGATGGCCGTGTGTCACCGTGAGGACAAGGACACTGGCGGCAGAAAGTCTGGGAAGTACTCCTTGGAGTGAGCCCTCCCAAAGTCTAACATTAGCCCCACCAAAGAGCCTGGGTAGGCTCAAGTGTTGGGTCACCTCAGGCCAAACAACCAGCAAGGAGGGAACCCAGCCCCACCCATCAGCAGGCAAGTGGAATAAAATTTTACTGAGCTCTGCCCACCAAGGCAACAGCCAGCTCTATCTACCACCAGTCCCTCCTATCAGGAAACTTGCACAAGCCTCTTAGACAGCCTCATCCACCAGAAGGCAGACAGCAGAAGCAAGAAGAACGACAATCCTGCAGCCTGTGGAACAAATACCACATTCACAGAAAGATACACAAGATGAAAAGGCAGAGGGCTATGTACCAGATGAAGGAACAAGATAAAACCCCAGAAAAACAACTAAATGAAATGGAGATAGGCAACCTTCCAGAAAAAGAATTCAGAATAATGATAGTGAAGATGATCCAGGACCTTGGAAAAAGAATGGAGGCAAAGATCAAGAAGATGCAAGAAATGTTTAACAAGGATCTAGAAAAGTTAAAGAACAAACAAACAGAGATGGACAACACAATAACTGAAATGAAAAATATACTAGAAGGAATCAATAGCAGAATAACTGAGGCAGAAGAACGGATAAGTAACCTGGAAGACAGAATGGTGGAATTCACTGCTGAGGAACAGAATAAAGAAAAAAGAATGAAAAGAAATGAAGACAGCCTAAGAGACCTCTGGGACAACATTAAACGCAACAACATTTGCATTATAGGGGTCCCTGAAGTAGAAGAGAGAAAGGACCAGATAAAATATTTGAAGAGATTATAGTCGAAAACTTCCCTAACATGGGAAAGGAAATAGCCACCCAAGTCCAGGAACTGCATAGAGTCCCATACAGGATAAACCCAAGGAGAAACACGCTGAGACGCATAGTAATCAAATTGGCAAAAATTAAAGACCAAGAAAAATTATTGAGAGCAACAAGGGAAAAATGACAAGTAACATAAAATGGAACTCCCATAAAGTTAACAGCTGATTTCTCAGCAAAAACTCTACAAGCCAGAAGGGAGTTTCATGATATATCTAAAGTGATGAAAGGGAAAAACCTACAACCAAAATTACTCTACCCAGCAAGGATCTCATTCAGATTCGATAGAGAAATCAAAAGCTTTACAGACAAGCAAAAGCTAAGAGAATTCAGCACCACCAAACCAGCTCTACAACAAATGCTAAAGGAACTTCTCTAAGTGGGAAACACAAGAGAAGAAAAGGACCTACAAAACAAACCCAAAACAATCAAGAAAATGGTCATAGGAACATACATATTGATAATTACCTTAAACATGAATGGATTAAATCCTCCACCAAAAGACACAGGCTTGCTGAATGGATACAAAAACAAGACCCATATATATGCTGTCTACAAGAGACCCACTTCAGACCTAGGGACACATTCAGACTGAAAGTGAGGGAATGGAAAAAGATATTCCATGCAAATGGAAATCAAAAGAAAGTTGGAGTAGCAATACTCATATCAGATAAAATAGACTTTAAAATAAGGAATGTTACAGGAGACAAGGAAGGACACTACATAATGATCAAGAGATCAATCCAAGAAGAAGATATAACAATTACAAATATATATGCACCCAACATAGGAGCACCTCAATACATAAGGCAACTGCTAAAAGCTCTAAAAGAGGAAATTGACAGTAACACAATAATAGTGGAGGACTTTTAACACCTCACTTACACCAATGGACAGATCATCCAAACAGAAAATTCATAAGGAAACACAAGCTTTAAATGACACAACAGACCAGATAGATTTAATTCATATTTATAGGACATTCTATCCAAAAACAGCAGATTACAATTTCTTCACAAGTGTGCACGGAATATTCTCCAGGATAGATCACATCTTGAGGCACAAATCCAGCCTCAGTAAAGTTAAGAAAATTGAAATCATATCAAGCATCTTTTCTGGCCCCAATGCTATGAGATTAGAAATCAATTACAGGGAAAAAAACATAAAAAGCACAAACACATGGAGGCTAAACAATACATTACTAAACAACCAAGAGATCACTGAAGAAATCAAAGAGGAAATAAAAAAATACCTAGAGACAAATGACAATGAAAACACGATGATCCAAAACGTATGGGATGCAGCAAAAGCAGATCTAAGAGGGAAGTTTATAGCTATACAAGCCTACCTCAAGAAACAAGAAACATCTCAAACAATCTAATGTTACACTTAAAGGAACTAGAGAAAGAAGAACAATCAAACCCAAAGTTAGCAGAAGGAAGAAATCATAAAGATTAGATCAGAAATAAATGAAATAGAAACAAAGAAAACAATAGCATGGATCAATAAAACTAAAAGCTGGTTCCTTGAGAAGATAAACAAAATTGATAAACCATTAGCAAGACTCGTCAAGAGGGAGAGGACTCAAATCAATAAAATCAGAAATGAAAAAGGAGAAATCACAACTGACACTGCAGAAATACAAAGGATTATAAGAGATTACTACAAACAACTATATGCCAATAAAATGGTCAACCTGGAAGAAATGGACAAACTGTTAGAAAGGTATAACCTTCCAAGACTGAACCAGGAAGAAATAGAAAATATGAACAGACCAATCACAAGTAATGAAATCGAAACTGTGATTAAAAATCTTCCAACAAACAAAAGTCCAGGACCACATGGCTTCACAGGTGAATTCTATCAAACATTTAGAGAAGAGCTAACACCCATCCTTCTCAAAGTCTTCCAAAAAATTGTAGAGGAAGTAAAACTCCCAAACTCATTCTATGAGGCCACCATCACCCTGATACCAGAACCAGACAAAGATACTACAAAATAAGAAAATACCAGACCAATATCACTGATGAATATAGATGCAAAATTCCTCAACAAAATACAAGCAAACAGAATCCAACAACACATTAAAAGGATCATACACCATGATCAAGTGGGATTTATCCCATGGATGCAAGGATTCTTCGATATATGCAAATCAATCAATGTGATACACCATATTAACAAATTGAAGGAGAAAAACCATATGATCATCTCAATAGATGCAGAAAAAGCTTTTGACAAAATTCAACACCCATTTATGATAAAAACTCTACAGAAAGTGGGCATAGAGGGAACCTACCTCAACATAATAAAGGCCATATATGACAAACCCACAGCAAACATCATTCTCAATGGTGAAAAACTGAAAGCATTTCATCTAACAACTCTGTTGTTGGAACTCCTAGCCACGGCAATCAGAGAAGAAAAAGAAATAAAAGTAATACAAATTGGAAAAGAAGAAGTAAAACTGTCACTGTTTGCAGTTCACATGATACTACACATAGAGAATCCTAAAGATACCACCAGAAAACTACCAGAGCTAATCAATGAATTCGGTAAAATTGCAGGATACAAAACTAATGCACAGAAATCTCTTGCATTACTATACACTAATGACGAAAAATCTGAAAGAGAAATTAAGGCAACACTCCCATTTACCATTGCAACAAAAAGAATAAAATACCTAGGAATAAAAGACCTGTATGACCTAGGGACACAAAAGACCTGTATGCAGAAAACTGTAAGACACTGTTGAAAGAAATTAAAGTTGATACCAACAGATGGAGAGATATACCATGTTCTTGGATTGGAAGAATCAATATTGTGAAAATGAGTATACTACCCAAAGCAATCTACAGATCCAATGCAATCCCTATCAAATTACCAATGGCAGTTTTTACAGAACTAGAACAAAAAATCTTAAAATTTGTATGGAGACACAAAAGACCCCGAAAAGCCAAAGCAGTCCTGAGGGAATAAAAAGGAGCTGGAGGAATCAGACTCCCTGACTTCAAACTATACTACAAAGCTACAGTAATCAAGACAGTATGGTACTGGCACAAAAACAGAAATATAGATCAATGGAACAGGATAGAAAGCCCAGAGATAAACCCACGCACCTATGGTCAACTAATCTATGACAAAGAAGGCAAGGATATACAATGGAGAAAAGACAGTCTCTTCAATAAATGGTGCTGGGAAAACTGGACAGCTACATGTAAAAGAATGAAATTAGAACACTCTGTAACACGATACACAAAAATAAACTCAAAATGGATTACAGACCTAAATGTAAGACTGGACACTATAAAACTCTTAGAGGAAAACATAGGAAGAACACTCTTTGACATAAATCACAGCAAGATCTTTTTTGATCCACCTCCTAGAGTAATGGAAATAAAAACAAAAATAAGCAAATGGGACCTAATGAAACTTAAAAGCTTTTGCAAAGCAAAGGAAACTACAAACAAGACAAAGAGACAACCCTCAGAATGGGAAAAAAAATATTTGCAAATGAATCAACAGACAAAGGATTAATCTCCAAAATATATAAACAGCTCATGCAGCTCAATATTAAAAAAACAACCCAATCAAAAAACGGGCAGAAGACCTAAATAGACATTTCTCCAGAGTACATAAAGATGGCCAAGAGGCACATTAAAAGCTGCTCAACATCACTAATTATTACAGAAATGCAAGTCAAACTACAATGAGGTATCACCTCACACCAGTTAGAATGGGCATCATCAGAAAATCTACAAACAACAAATGCTGGGGAGGGTGTGGAGAAAAGGGAACCCTCTTGCACTGTTGGTGGGAATGTTAATTGATACAGCCACTATGGAGAACAGTATGGAGGGTCCTTAAAAAACTAAAAATAGAATTACCATGTGGCCCAGCAATCCCACTACTGGGCATATACCCTGAGAAAACCATAATTCAAAAAGACACATGCACCCCAATGTTCATTGCTGCGCTATTTACAATAGCCAGGTCTTGGAAGCAACCTAAATGCCCATCGACAGACGAATGGATAAAGAAGAGGTGGTACATATATACAATGGAATATCACTCACCCATAAAAAGGAACGAAATTGGGTTATTTGTAGAGACGTGGATGAATCTAGAGACTGTCTTACAGAGTGAAGTAAGTCAGAAAGAGAAAAAGAAATATATATTAACGCATATATGTGGAATCTAGAAAAATGGTACAGATGAACCTGTTTGCAGGGCAGAAATAGAGACACAGGTCAGATGTAGTGACCAAACGTATGGACACCAAGGGGGGAAAGCAGCAGTGGGTGGTGGTGGTGGTGTGATGAATTGGGAGATTGGGATTGACATGTATACACTGATGTGTATAAAATGGATGACTAAGAAGAACCTGCTGTAGAAAAAAATAAAATAAAATTCAAAAAGAAAAAAGTTCAGCGTGAGCTTGAGGCAATCAGTGAAATCAGGGCTTCTCAGTTCTTAATGATCACATTTTTTATGCTTAACAAAACAAATATTCCATAATTCCTTGAAAATAACCTTTCACACAGTATTTTAAAACAGTATAAAGTCAATTAGTTTGTTTTAGCAGTTTTTTTTCTTTTTGATGACATTTCCAATATATATTAAGATATATATCCACATCCTAATCTCTGTGGTCTAAAATCCCAGGGTCTGAAAACCAGACTCCCAACAATGGACTCTAGTAGAAGACACAGAACTTCAAGGTTTAATTTGATACTAATGACTTTATTATATGGCAAATGTTGATTATCTTGACTTATTTTCTATTAAAAACAAAACAGACCTTTGTTTAAAAAAATTTGGCAAGACACTTATTGTTATGCACATATAATTGCCAGGCAGCTGGTGTTAACTGTTTGGAATTTGACCTGAAAGCAAATGCTTGTCGGTCTGGGGCTTCCCTGGTGGCGTAGTGGTTAAGAATCCGCCTGCCAATGCAGGGGACACGGGTTCAAGCCCTGGTCCGGGAAGATCCCACATGCCGTGGAGCAACTAAGCCCATGCACCACAACTACTGAGCCTGCAAGCCACAACTACTAAGCCCACGTGCCACAATTACTGAAGCCCGTGCACCTAGAGCCTGCACCCTGCAATGAAGAGCAGCCCCTGCTCACCACAACTAGAGAAAGCCCATGCACAGCAACAAAGACCCAATGCAGCCAAAAATAAATAAATTAATTAAAATAAAAAAGTTTATCAGTCTGAGTTGTGCTTTGGTCTGTCTTCTTTCTATTTTCCACCAGAATGTACATTCCATAAGGGCAAAAAAAAAAATCTGTCTTGTTCATTGCTCTATCACTAGCAATGAGTACAGTGCCTGACACAGACTAGTACTCAATAAATATTTGATGAATACACTGAATGAATACACTTAATATTTGTTATTTGCATATTCTTATCAAATTAAAATCAGACTTTACACCAGACACAAACTGGAAATAAGCCTCTAATATATACTTAGATATAACACTTCACACAAATAAAGGATTGTAAATGATAATAGCTCCATTATCTGAAGTTGGGGAAACTGGATAAAAGATGATGCCATTTTATTCTGTCTTCATAAAGATGAAGGAAAAAGAATAGATTGAGTGGACACAATGTTTTCAAGGTATGTGGAAGAGTAAAACCAATGGAAGAAAGCCTTGAGAAACGGAAGAGAACTGGAGAGAAAGTGCTGAAGAAACCAAGGACAAAGAGTGTTTCAAGGAGCAACAAGTCAAGGTCAGATGTTAGTTGAGAGCTGTGGCATGTCTGCTGGACTCAAGAGGTCACAAGTGCTACAAGAACAATTCAAACATAAGTGCAGGGGTGGAAGCCAGACTGCAGTGCAAATGAGAGTGAGAGTGGGTATTTCTTTAAAAAGGCTGAATTCAGAGAGAGGAAGAAAGCAGCAGCATGAGAAGGAGACAGGCTGGAAGGAGAGTTTCTTTTTTTTTTTTTTAACTGAGGAGACTGGAACTTATTTCTAACAATTGGCATCCCCAGTGGTGAGGGAAAAGAAAGAAACTTATACCCTACTTCCAGAATTTTTCTTCCTATTATAAAAAGCAAACCACCAATTACTTAAGCTAAAAGTCACCTAATTAAATATACGGGATTAGTCCTCTAACATTAACATATGTTTAACTTCCAACTGCTAGGTATATTATCCAAGTACCTAAAGAACTGTAGGAAACCTTAATGAAAGACAGAAACCAAGACAACTAGCTTTTGGTTAAAGACATTAAAAATCAAATTTAAAGCTTACCATCAATGGCTTGAAAACATTCAACTCAAAATGTCCACTGCTGCCCCCAATGGTAATGGCGACATGATTGCCCATGACCTGGGCTGCAACCATGGTCAGTGCCTCACACTGGGTGGGGTTCACCTTGCCTTCAAGAAAACCACCAAAGAGAGAAATCACATCAAACACACTTGTGGCTTCAAATATGAGTTTAAGATTAGGTTTTATATCAAATAACCAAGAGAAGAAGGAAAACTAACTTCATTAAATAAAGACATATAATAAAGCAATGTCCCAACCATCAATGCTGTTTAATGAAACAAACCATATAGCCAGAAACTCTGAATCATGCAATGGCTAATAAGTAGAGTACCTACAACTACACAGTAAATATAGCTCTTTTCACCTTCATGGCTTACATGCACTCTAGAAATACTTATGGAGCCAGGCACTGAATATACAACAGTGAGGAAGAAGGATGCAGCCCCTGCCCTCATAGAACTTGGAGGCGAGGGAGAGAGAACTGGCAATTATAATAGATAAGGGGTCAATACAAAGAAGTGCAGACTGCTATGGGAATACTTATAAAAGAAGCACCTCACCAACATCTGGGAGGCTTCCCAGAGGAAACTGATGTTAAGCTGGAATCTTCCTATTTGAGTTTCCAGAACCCTACCACCCTGTAACACTCCTCTGACAAGCTCAAGTTTGAACCGAACATCCCTGATTCCTCTGACAAGTACAAAGCAATGCAGTGGGAAGATTAGTTCTTTATCTGTGACTCTGCATTTCTCTTTTTTAGGTAATCACCTTGAATTTGCAATCAACTGAACTCATGTCATTTTTCAACATGACATACTTTAAAATCAGATCTTTTCTCATTCTACACATGCCTAGATCTAAAAGAAACTATAGTCAGGTCTTTCTTTTTCACTCTTGTCAGTTTTAGTCCAACTACAGAGTCCTTTATGAATCTAGACTCTGTCATCTGATGTACTGCTATTTCAACTTTATCTGCTAATATGATCAACACATATTCTCTACCTTCACCCTCAGTCACCAGTAAAGTGGTGAAAGGGCACAGCCCTTCAGCTTGCTGCCAAGATATCCCTCCAGTCTGAAGTCAACTCATTAGGCACTCCTTAAATGTCACTGTTCACCCAGCTACATTCATCTAACAGTACTGCCCACACTTCTCCACTGGATTCCATGAATATCAAGTGAGTCCACCAAATGACTTACTGGAATCCAGACATCAAGAAAAGAAGGAAATCCAACTTCATTAAATAAAGTAAGACATATAATAAAGCAAGGCCCCAACCATATTTGTGGAGCCTCCCTTACCTAACTGGCCAAAACCTAAAGCAAAAAATGAAATAAGAGGCATTTGATATAATTCATCTTTATTCATCCCATGCAGATCACTTTAACAGCCTGTTTTAGAATTCTATTTGCTTTGGATTGTGAAAGATAGAACTATTACATATTTTCTAAGGTGGAAATCAAAATATATGCTGCTAACTAAAATTCTTTTCTCCTATATTGTTGGGTGATGTCCCCACAAGTCCTGATCAAAAGCAGCCCACAAAGACATTGTGAAACAAGTGCACCACACATGTCCCTATCCACTTTGAGATCACGTTAAACAAAAGCAGATATGCTTTGTAGATGAGAATGCCTGGGTTCTAGTCAAGTTCCAGTTCTAACATTTACCAGCTATGTGATTACCTGGCATGATACTGCTTCCTGGTTCATTTTCAGGCAAAATCAATTCTCCCAGACCTGAGCGAGGACCAGAACCCAGAAAACGAATATCATTTGCAATCTTCATCAGACTGCAAGCGGCAGTGTTCATGGCTCCACTGAGTTCAACTAAAGCATCATGAGCAGCCAAAGCTTCAAATTTATTTGGAGCTGTGACGAAAGGCAAGCCTGAAGAAAAATAATAACCTATATGAGTTAACAGGTAAAATTCAACATTTTTCTAATATCAGCAAGTTAAACAGAAAGTGCCAGTATATGAAAAGCAAAAAAAGAACAGAATAAAAATCTTACTTCAGAAAAAAATGCTTAAGACTCAAGCTTTGTCTACATTTCTTCAGGAAGTCCTAAAGGGGTAGAAAATCTGATGATACTAGCAAACTTAAAAGATAAAAAGAACAAGTACAATAAATGTTGAAAGAAATATAAAATATTGAAAGAAAAAACATTATCCTACTGCAAACACCTGTGTATGATGCCTGACTACGCTTGAGTAAAGAGGAAAAGTAGGTAAAATTCACTCTGCTTTATTCCACACTCCTCTCCTAGTACAATTTTTCCCCCATTTTAGGTGTTCTATTCTCTTCTCTAGCCAGGACCCACAAGGTCCTCTGAGAGATTAGGGAGCCAGAATGAGTTAGACATTCTCAATCTCTCCCATGTTCAAATTTTTAAAAATCTACATATTCTAAACCCCATAATACAGTTCTTCTTGATTAAAATTTGATTAAAAAAATCTCTGCTAGTAAGCAATAATAAGCATTGTATAATTATCTGTACCCTAACTCTCTGGTAATATCTGCATCTTAATAAGAGTTTTCTGGAGATAATAGCTCTAATAACAGTTATCATTATCAAGAGCACAGTACTCTACTAAAGGAAAGAGAATTCAAAAAGGTCATTAATTCAAAGAAATGTCACAGCATGCCATAGGAAAAAAAGAAATTAAGCCTGTCAATCTCTAACATATTTGTCATTCAAATGAATTTCTCAACCATCAGTTGATGCCTCCTGCTTTGAAAATGAGTATTCAAAACAGCTTTAAATGGAAAATAATTGAATACTACCAGATAGTAAGCAAATTAGCACTGACAGATTTTAATAATTACATGCTGTATGAACTTACAGATGGAAAACTTTAAAAAAGCAAAAGGTTAACATTACAACTTCTGAAATAGACACAAAGTACATGTTTGATGGGAAAATATTATTTCTAACTTTAAATTTGTAAGAATTCAAAGCAGAAACACCCAGAAAAATACAGACTAGTATAATGGAAATGAGTAATAAATCGTGTTATCACCTACCTGTGAGTGCAGCCACTTTTGCGGCAACCTTTTCTGCAAAGCCAATTCTAGTATTTAAACCAGTACCGACAGCAGTGCCCCCAGCTGCGAGCTCGTAGATTCTTGGCATGGCACCTTTTATTCTTGTTGTTGCATATTTCACTTGTTGAACATAACCACTAAATTCCTGAAAAGCAAAAGAAATTAAGGTGAGAATATATAATTTTCTAATGGCATACAAGTTACTCTAACTACATTAAATTCAAGTTTTTAAAAAACACGTTTCAGGTACAAAATTAGAAGCTACTCAAGTGGTAACTGTATTATTTGATTCATACAATAAACAAAGTATAGGAGAGAAAGAGAATTTATAAACCTATCAGGTAGACAATGCCACTGATAACATGTGGCCTATTTATAAACTAGTCTTTCCATAGAAAGCAAAGAAAAACAACACAGGAAATTAAAAAAAAAACTTTACTAGATTAAATTATTTGTTTTTTGTAAATTATTTACTTTTTGGTGTATCTCAAACAACTCTGAGAAAGAAAAAAACTGAATCCCCTCAAGAAAAATGCAAACATAGAAATATCCTCCATACAATTTCAGTTAAAAAACCTGATATGAAATTTGAGGATGTTTTACAGGGACTCAAGAAGCTACGTGACTCACTGAACAGCACAAGAAGGTAACAGGTTAGACTTAAGACTATAGCTTCAAGATGCATTTTAATTCTGCTATTAATGCCACACTGGTTCCCACAGTATAACATCCTTTAAGTAAAGTAACCACAGAATTCATCATGTTTAGAACATAGCAAGGGCCCTATCAAGAATTATGCAGGGACAGAAGGCATAAGCTAGAACTCAACTGAGCAAGCTGGGATATAGGGTTACACTAAATCTTTTTTTCCTGCCTAAAAACACTGAAAAATCATGAATACTTTTGATTAGTACTAGGATTTCACACTGCTCTAAAGAAAATGTTTTAGAAGATACAACTCCTTTCAGGTAGACCTGATCCATCTGATCTAACACCACTTACATATACACCAGCTGGATTCACTTCAGGAATATATTTTTATTGAGGAAAAAAACTGCACTCAAAAGCCTCAAAAGACAATTACAATAAAAGTATAAATGCTTCTGATAAGATAAAATCAAAGAGAAAAAAAAAACTTTCTGTCATAATACAAAGAATGATGATTTTACATAGGAGGCTGAGTAAATGGCCCAACCAGACTTCAGCATATAATGGTTTTCCTACATGTAACACACACAAAAAGGAGTATCCAGAGGGATACTCAAAAGTTTCAAAAACATATACTGTATCTCCTTAGAAATTATGCATGGTACTAAGAGCCAATGATGTAAAGAGAAATAAGATACAGCCTAAGAAACAACTTAATTTAGCAAGCTCAGTTTAGTCATATCATCTGTATGTCAATTAATCACTTCCAGTTTTCCTCATTCCTTCCGTGATAAAGTTAAGGTAAATGATCAAGTTTTTTTTCAGTGTTTGCTGTCATCTGAACAAAACTACAAATGAAATCTTTCCAAATAACCAGCAGCCAAACTCTCCCTCACCTGAATTTCTACAAAAATACTGTTATTGGATACCTATCTTTTGATACTTGATATAGAATTTGCATATGTCCTACCTCCCAAACTGGAGTCAACTTAACTGAGACAAAAACTGTTCCTTGTATTTCCTTTGCAATGTATACTATTAGGTATTCTTTAAAGTATCAATAAAGAAACATAAAAATACTTTCTGGTATTTTGGAAAAGAGAGAAATACCTCTTTTACATGTGGCCAAAACAATTGTAAAGAGTAAGATATGCCCCATTTAATCATTTTAAAATTAATTTTTAAAGAACTTACTAATTTTGAGTAAGAGAGACAATGGAAGAAATTATGATAATGATACTCATGAAGATGATGATGACAGCTAACACCAACATGTGCTTATAATGTGTCAGGGACGGTTCTAAGCACTCTACATGAATCAGTTTATTTAAACCTCATACCTATCCTATGAAAGAGATATTTTCCTCATTCTACAGCTCAGAAAACTGATGCACAGAAAGGCTAAATAATTTTCCTAAGGTCCAATAGTTTGCACATAGCAAAGTAAGATTTGAACTCAAGTAGACTGATGTGGAGTCTGGCTCATAGCCAGTATGCTCTGCTCTTCTGAGTGGATACCAATAAAAACTACTGACTGATTAATGCAGAATCATCTGTCACTGAACTGAATTGTTATAAATTTGGCCTTTTAAACCAGTGTGATTTAGAGGGTAACATGCTGGCCGTTTGTACCAAGCCCGCAATTGAACCAAATCTAATTGCACGCAATATACCTGCCCAAGAGTAAGTGGAACAGCATCCTGTGTATGAGTACGCCCAATTTTGATGATCTGGGCAAATTCTTTGGATTTTGCATCAAGGGCATCATGTAGCTTCTGTAGTCCTGGTAGCAGTACTTCATGAACTTCTACTGCAGCAGCAATATGCATTGCTGTGGGAAAAGTATCATTTGAGCTCTGTTGGAAAATTTTCAAAAGAAATGTAAAATGTTAAATCAGAGGCAAAAATAAACCAAACTTGAATGCCTCAATTAAAAATCTCACTAAATGACTACTCAAAACTTGGCATATTTAGTACTCAATTACATTTACCTGTGGCAAGTCACTTAGGATCAAGTAAGAAGCAACCTGATTTCCTTTGTGGAAGGTATTTAGGACTGTATTACATATACCACCTACAATGAATGTATTATATGTTACTCTATCTGCCTGCTAAGAAATGACAGCAAGACATAGAGAAGTACAACTAGCAAATGTATGTAAGGATAGCAATAATAAAATATCTTACAGTTAAATAGCACATACAGTCTTTCACAAACACTTCTTCCTTTACTAAACTTGAGGAAAATTCTGTGAGGTAGGTCACCACTTTAAAAATAGAAAAGCTAAACTGTCAAAGAAATTATGTGACTTGCCACAATTTTTACAGTTGGCAGAACTGGGACCTGACCAGGTAGTCTAAACTCCATGCTCTTTCCTCAACTGTAAACCCATACTTTTAAATTACGATGCTATTTAAAAAAATATATTCATATTTATTTGTTAATATATAAATATGAATATATTGGCAATATATTGGCATCACCTTCTAGTCTCTACTTTTCAGTTAATATATTATTAACATATATTCATTTGTTAAACTTTGTATTATGGACATTATCAAACTACTTACAAAAGTAGGATGAATGGTATAATGAACACTCATGTATCTACCACCTGAATTCAAACAATTAGCATATAGCCAATCTTGTTTCATCTATAACTCCACCTCACTCCTCCATCTGACCATACACACTAGATTATTCTGAAGTAGATTTCAGACTTCAGTATATGTAAAAGATAAACTCGGGCTTCCCTGGTGGCACAGTGGTTGAGAGTCCGCCTGCCGATGCAGGGGACGCGGGTTCGTGCCCCAGTCCGGGAAGATCCCACATGCCGCGGAGCGGCTGGGCCCGTGAGCCATGGCCGCTGAGCCTGCGCATCCGGAGCCTGTGCTCCGCAACGGGAGAGGCTACAACAGTGAGAGGCCCGCGTACCACCAAAAAATAAATAAATAAATAAGATAAACTCATATTTAAAGGCAAGCCTTGGGTTTGCAAAATCCTTCATACAATGGATTTATGTGAAAATACTTCCTCACTACTTAAAAATATATTAAATTATACTCAGAACCCAGATCTTGGTTTTTAAATATCACTTCTCAATAAGTGATAAGATCCTCCAAGAGCTCTTTGGAAAAATGAGTGCTTATGAGGGCTAGGGCAGGAAAAATACAAGATGAGAAGCCTGGAGCATCTTATAGTGCAAAAAATTAATCAGTGCCTTAAAAAAAAAAAAGGATGGTGGCATGTCCAAAGGACACAGGAGCCAACAAGCTGTGGCTCTGTGGCAACAATACGAGTAGCAATATAAATATCAAAAATATTGGATTATAACCTTAAGAAAAAAATATTAATGAATTCATACTGATATACATAAATGATTAAATAAATAAATGTCAGGGGAGAGAGAAGACAGTATTACTTACAGAAAAATTTCAATTAATAAATGTAGAAAGAATGAGGGAAACAGAAAATCACTACTGAAACACTAATGTAGTTGTTATTGGCAAGATCCACTGATGAATGTTAAAATGAATAGGCAAAAGTTTAAGGAGAAAGAGGCTATTAGAATAGCCTCAAAGTTCTCTATTAATTCTGTGGTGATCTTACCACATGTCCAAAAATTTCTTGATACTCTTCCGTTTAGGAAGTGGAGCTTAAGTGTAGTAGCTGGAGTATAGGCTGGACACAGTGGCTTACTTCTACCAAATAGAGAATAGAAGATGGAGAAACCAGGGAGACACCATCTTAACCAATTGATTCAAGTTAACATCACCAGTACCAAGTCATGTTGCTATCATGTACCCCTGATATGATGCAAGAAGAGCCCTTCATTTCTATAAGTCTTTCCAAAAATCCACAGTCTCAGTCTAATATTGAGGGACATTCTATAAAATACCATATTGAGGGACATTCTATAAAATACCTGGCCACTGCTTTCAAGAGTCACAAAGACAAAAGACAAGCTCTCATAGATTAAAGGAGACTAAGGGGATATGATGACTAAATACAATGTGGAGCATGGACTGGATCCTGGTTAAAAGAAAAAGGAGATCAATAGAAAACTAGGGAAATCCTAATAAAGCCTGTTTAATTAAGAGTATTGTACCAATGTTAATTTCTTAGTGTGACAAATGTACCAGGGTTATGTAAAATATTTAATATTAAGGGTAGCTGGGTGAAGGGTATACAGGAACTCTGAAATATCTTTGCAATTCTTATAAATAATTTTATATTTCAAAAGAAAGAGTTTTTAAAATATAAATCAAACAGCGAAAATATATATATATATACTAAATTCAGGTGTCCTAAAAGTGATTTTTTTCCCTAAAGGTGCTTTTTATGAAAATTTAAGACGTAGACTCAAGATTCCTAAAAGAAATAAGGAGAAGAAGTCCTTTCCATTAAAGAATATCAGCAGAATGAACACTCCCTGTCAAAAGTTAATGCCTGGGGCTTCCCTGGTGGCGCAGAGGTTAAGAATCCTCCTGCCAACGCAGGAGACACAGGTTCGAGCCCTGGTCTGGGAAGATCCCACATGCCGCGGAGCAACTAAGCCTGTGCACCACAACTACTGAGCCTGTGCTCTAGAGCCCGTGAGCCACAACTACTGAAGCCTTTGCGCCCTAGAGCCGTGCTCTGCAACAAGAGAAGCCACCGCAATGAGAAGCCCATGCACAGTAATGAACACCCAATGCAGCCAAAAATAAATAAATTTTAAAAGAAAAAAAAAAACCTCATTAAAAAAAAGTTAATGCCTGTTTTACAAGGAAGATCTCAGGATTCTTTTCAAGTTATAACAAAGAAAAGATCGTATACCGACCTGGCTTTTATTAACATGATCGTTGGGATGCACGGGTTTCTTGCTGCCAAGTTCACCTCCTAGCATTTCAATTGCTCTATTGCTAATGACTTCATTTACATTCATATTTGTCTGGGTTCCTGATCCAGTCTGCCATACCACGAGAGGAAAATGATCATTTAATTTACCTTCAGCTACCTGCAGAGCAAAATGTTACAAAATGAATTTTAAAAAATAAGAAATATTCATTTAGCTAATTAAATCAAATATGATTAAGTTGGTACTATTTATAGTACTATTTTAAAGGTATTCACTTTTTTCATATGCTAGTGATGGTGCCAAATAGTTCACGGTTGTCCAGCAAATTGAAGCTCCAGCAGTCTAACCACTGCTACTTTAAAAGGTGAAAGATTGGGGAATCCCTGGTGGCGCAGTGGTTGGGAGTCTGCCTGCTAATGCAGGGGACACGGGTTCAAGCCCTGGTCTGGGAGGATCCCACGTGCCGCGGAGCAACTGGGCCTGTGAGCCACAACTACCGAGCCTGCGCATCTGGAGCCTGTGCTCCGCAACAAGAGAGGCCGCGATAGTGAGAGGCCTGTGCACCGTGATGAAGAGTGGCCCCTGCTTGCCACAACTGGAGAAAGCCCTCGCACAGAAACGAAGACCCAACACAGCAAAAATAAATAAATAAAATTAATAAACTCCTAAAAAAAAAAAAGGTGAAAGATTATCTATTGTGAATGGTATAACAATTTCACTGATTCCAAATGAAAACTGAATCAAAGATATCTTTCTCCTATTTCTCAACTGCCCTCTAATAATATACAGACAGACCCACCCACCCATTAAGGCTGGCAAATGTGTTAAGTCTCTAGATAAATTTACTGTTGGTACTCAGCAGGAATATCCAACAGATGTTACAGCCAGAGTCAGCATGATAATGAACGAGTGACTTAACACTGTGAGCTCACTAATAGCTACTGCATCCCACACATGTCCTATGAGTAGCAACCTCCAAGCATAGACATAAATATGGTCTAGATTTGTCCTTATTTTTGTCATATTTTTGTCCTTTTAGTTAATTTGTTAGTTTTTGGATTATAAGCTTTCTAAGAGAGTGGGTGCTTAACTTCACCTTCTGGAATGATTTTAGCTTAAAAAAAATCAGCATGCACTTTAGAAATCTATTACCTTAAACAACTGATTCACTTTAAAGTAAAACTTTTTTCCTAGTTGTATAAAAATAACAGGTGATCAGTGTAAAAAAATCTGAGAACTAAGAAAAGCATAATAGTCATCATAGTTCTACCCTCAGAAATAAAGATGATTAGCATTTTGGCATCACCTTCTAGTCTCTACTTTCAGCAATGGGAGTACATATGTAGATGTAGAAAAACATATTTTTCTGTTCATTTTTTCTAAATAAAATTAGGATCATAAAATACATGCATTTTGCAATCTTTCCTCCTCACTTCTTATATGGTAGGGTTTGTTCTATGACATTCTTTAAAAAACTAAATTTCCATGGCTTCACAATATAACTTACATAAGCAGCTGTTATAATAAATAGTACTGCAATGAACATCATTATATTCAGAGCTTTTAAACTGTTATGTCTGACTGCTTATCTTTAATTGCGTAAGCAATTAATTATGTTATTAGTGAAATAGTGAAATTACATTCTCCACAGATAGTATCAAATAACCAACTAGCTTTAAAAGGAATCATCTATACATAAAACAAGAAATCAAAAGATAAGTTCAAAGGGTATCTCTTCAAAGTTTTCTTTAAACTATATAAATTAAAAGGAAAAGTAAAGAAAATTAAAAATAAAAGGTATAAAATCACCCAGAAAATTTGCCACAATATTTTAAGCACCATATTAATATCCTCACCAAATAATAATGCTGCCATCCTATGCTGAAACTCATTAACTAAAGAATTCACAGTGCCCCTTTCCTCGTGTGAGCACTTATCATTATCCAGCAGTTAATATGGGTCTGATGCCATTAAGTAAACACACTTATCACCTCTTACCTCATCTGCTGCCTTCATTATTGCATTAGCAATCTTTGGATCAAGACCATAATCCTGGTTTACTTCAGCAGCTGCTCGCTTCAAGATGCCAAATGCTTTAATAACTGGGATCTAGAGTTAATCAGAAAAATATCTCAAATTTGCAATTTTAGTTAAGCATGAAAGTTTAAGATTACTATCTTATGCAGGTACAAAAATTTAAGATTACTATCTTATGCAGGTACAAAAAAAATGCAGGTACAGAAAAAAGCATGAAAGTTTAAGATTACTATCTTATGCAGGTACATAAAACAATAACTTAAGTAACATTATGACCCTAAAATGTTTAGGATATAGAGAAAGATTAAAAATAGATATATAAAAACCAAGAATCATCATTTGTCTATTTGTTTAGGGAACCAAACAAAAGCAAATACAACGACTTTTCATAGATATATACGTATGCCTCACACACATATATACACACATTCACACATATATACCATTCGTCCTACTTATTATAAGACATTATAATGTGTATGTTTTTATTTCATATATTTAAAAACAAATGATAACCATTTCACCAGCCTACACCATTATTTCCCCTCACTGGATCCCGTGCTACATTATAAGTTTTCCTTCTCTTTAGAAAAAACTAAAAGTAGCAAATAAAATAAAAGTAGCAAAATGGTGCTGGGAAAACTGGCCACATGCAAAAGAATGAAACTGGACCACTATCTTATACCATACATAAAAATGAACTCAAAATGGATTAAAGACTTGAACATTAAGATCTGAAACCATAAAACTCCTAGAAGAAAATATAGGCAGTAAGCTCCTTGACATCAGTCTTGGCAATGATTTTCTGGAGGAGTCCAAAAGAAAAAGCAACAAAAGCAAAAATAAACAAATGGGACTACATCAAACTAGAAAGCCTCTTCACAGCAAAGCAAATGTCAAAAAAATGAAAATGCAGCAGCTGGAGGGTGCAGGACCTGAGTGCTGGAAGCCAGGGCCCCCTCATTGACAGTGGCCCTGTGTGGAGGCCAGAGGCTGCCAATGCCTCCAAGGAACAGGGTGCTGAGGGGCCCAGGGTCCAAGCACCTAGCTCCCCGAGGGCCACAGAAGCTCCTTGCTGTCCTGGAGCACTGAGCACGGAAGCATCAGGCCAAACGGGGCTTCAGGAGCCTACCTTCACCACCGCTGAGGGAGCCTGCGCCAGGGGCATGCTGGGAAGGGAGCGAGCAGCCCAGCCAGGCCTGGCCTGTGCGAGGCTCTCACCGCTGAGGCCCAGGGTGCTCTGACCTAGCTGGCATCTGACTCTGCAGTTTTGGATTTTGTGGGTCAATTTTGCATACATATGGCCTATGGGCAAGACCTCATACACTTATATCTGTAAGTGTAAAATGGGCTTGCCTTGGAGATGGGGGTGTGTACACATGAAGTCAGTGGCTCTTCTGTGAGCTGAAGAGTCTTAAAGCGGAGCTGTCATCTGCGGCTGCTGTCACAGTATGCTGGCAGGACAAGTGACTTGAGCGTTTCGCTGCCCGATTTGAGGCTCAGTCCCTCCCTCCCTGCCCTTCAGGGCTCGAGACAGGTGACACACCCAGACCTTGACTGTGTTTCTCCTGTTAGCAGGACTTGGGCAGCTCTGGCTCTCCTAGCTTCCCTGGAAGCTCCTTTGCTTCCCTTGACCTAGAAAAGGGGTTGCCAGGCAGAGTGTTGATTGGGCGCTCAAAGCCAGCGATGAAACTGCTTCCCTGCCTAGGACAAGGGACCTGGAGGATGTTCTGTGTCGGATGATGTGCTGTTAGGGAGCCCCTCAGGCACCACTTCCTCTGCCCTCTGGTAGTGCCAGGACCATGCCAATGACGTTTCGCAGTAGCCTTATCATTCACAGGTGCCTCTCTAGCCTGCACAAATGATTGACAAGAGATCACCCAAAGGATTTTTTCTAAAGGTTTTTGGGTTTTGTTTTGTTTCCTTTGTTTTTGTTTTGCACGTGACAGTGTTTGTATTGAGGATCTTCTGAGGAAGAAGGGGTGTTTTAGGGGTGGTGCCAGGGTTCCTGGCCTCTAGTGCCCCACTCCCCTCAGCACCCCACCTGGTACCTTTGCCATGTTGGTGCTGAGGTTTCCTGCTTGATGAAATCAGATTGTTTAGAGTAAGAAAAAGGAAAGGGCTTCTGATGGCTTTGCCACAAGCTTACCTGTGGTTTCAATCTTGGGAGGCCACTGCTGATGCCATCACCACTATCTCCATGCAGTAGTTGCTGGGCCCTGGGCCCAACTGTCCCCTTGGCTTTATGAGTCTCTTTCTGCTTCCTACACCCATACCCGCAGTGTACAATCTTTTGAGATTTTCTCTGATCTTGTTGCCCAAGTAATAAGAGCTATGTCCTCCTTGACATCTTACTTCTTATGTGGGAGCCCCCAGGTCTTGTCTGACAGCTTATGGATAAGAATGAGACTCAGCCATTGACTAAGCCTCAGAAATCCACAAAAATGGCTGCAGACAGTTATGTCTGTTCCTTCTCTACCCCCACTCCCACCCCTTATACATGATACCCTATACTCTGAAAGTCCTGCTACTGCTACTTGCCAGAGTAGTAGCCAATCTTTGTACAGAACAATGTTCTGGAACAGCAGAATGAGTCTTGGGTCAGGAAGCAGGGCTACACTGGGCTTGGGGTACTGTAACTCCATCTCCATCTGGGGCTCAGCTTCAGTGTACCTGAGGGAGCCACAGACCAAGATGAATCAGATGCTTGAGTTTTTGCTTCTTCCTGTATTTTCTTGAAGTCGATTCATTATCTTACAAAGAGCCTACTCTTTCAGCCCTTAACTTAAATCCTTCAGATAATTAAGTTCATGAAGAGTACTCCTGAATTATGTTAGGACTTAGACCAGAGATGGCAAATGAATGGCACATCACTTCCCCTCTTCCCCCATGATAGGTACCACTAATCTGCTTCAGAGTACTTCCTGCTAAATCCCTGGTATATATTCTCATTTCTCAAGATTCCCCCAGCAGCCAGTATAAGTGTTGAGACCTATCTGCCATCCCTGGCTGAGGGGATACTACTCTACTCTGCTGAGGAACATAAGAGCTGCCAATCCCATACAGGGTTTGCTGGGCTAACGAAGCACGGGGAAGAGGCAGAAGTTTCTGCCTGCCCCCAGCAGGAAGGCTTGCAGTAGCCCACATGATTGCCTGCCCCACTTCAGTTACCTCTTAAAGTCCTAATGTTGGCAGGGAGGGGACTGTTGGAGTCCAGTGTGGTGCGGGAAATCACAGCCGCACAGGACAGCAATGCTCAGAAACCAAGTCTAGCTGCTGTGGAGCTACAGTGAGCAAGGTGGTCCCAGCTGTGCAGGGTACAACCTCTGCTCTCACCTCCAGCCATCTGTCTCTAGGCATCCAGGCCAGGCTATGGATGGGGATCCCCTTCTTCTTCCTCTCCATTGACCAAATCTTATCAACCACTACAGGTGCTCTGCTTTCCAAATTCAGCCCAGGCTCCTGGGTGCTGCCCACACCAGCCAGGGTCCTGGGCCAGATGAAGAGGTGGCCTATCCATGAGTGAAGGCCAGTTCCTTCCTCACTGGGGCAGGTCTTATGCCCCAGTTTTAGGACCAAGAGTTGTGTATTGGGTTCTTAGATTGCTAGCTTTTCCTGCAGGAGACCACAGCAGGTGAGGATCTGCTGACAGTAATCTGCATTGAGGGTCTTGTCCAGCTGAGAGCTTTGTGTACACCAGATTCTACGAGGTGTCAGCAGTACTTTTTAAAATTTGTTTTCTGTGAGGTTTTTGGACCATGGGCTGAGCTCAGGCACTTTCTGTAAGAGAATGTTATGTCTGTAAAGATGGTTATTTCCCCTCCTCCACCCACATCATGGTGGCCCTGTGGAAGGCTGACCAGAAGGCCAGTGGAGCTGCCCTAGTGTCTATGGGGGAGGGCGAGGCCTGCTGAGTTGATGCTCTAGCCCTCTCACCTTGCACAGCACAGAGGAGGTAACCCCAGGGACAGCCAGGCACCTGCCTGAGGGAGGGGTGCTGCCTTCTGTCCCTGTAACTGCTTCCTTTATGGCCCAAACTGGCCGCCCAGATTTGTTTGAAGGTGTGCTGAAAACTTTTTGGTATACAGAACAGCCAGGGACTTAATTTTGATGTATTTTAAAACCACATCAAATAAAGAGTCTGCTGCCTTTAAAAAAAAAAAGAAAAGAAAAGAAAATGCAACCTACTGAACGAAAATATTTGCAAATCATATATCTGATAAGGGGTTAACATTCAAAATATATAAAGAACTCATACTACCCAGTAGCAAAAAACAAACTGATTAAAAAATGGGCAGATGATGAGAACAGACATTTTTCCAAAGAAGATATACAGATGGCTGACAGATACATGAAATGATGCTCAACATCACTAATCACCAGAAAAATGCAAATCAAAACCACAATGAGATACCACCTCATACCTGTTAGAATGGCTATTATCAAAAAGACAACAGGGGCTTCCCTGGTGGCGCAGTGGTTGGGAGTCCACCTGCCAATGCAGGGGACATGGGTTCGAGCCCTGGTCTGGGAGGATCCCACACGCCGTGGAGCAACTAGGCCCGTGAGCCACAACTACTGAGCCTGCGCGTCTGGAGCCTGTGCTCCGCAACGAGAGGCTGCGATAGTGAGAGGCCCGTGCACCGCGATGAAGAGTGGCCCTCGCTCGCCACAACTAGAGAAAGCCCTCGCACCCACGAAGACCCAACACAGCAAATATAAATAAATAAATTAATAAACTCCTACTCCCAAAATTAAATAAATTAATAAACTCCTACTCCCAAAATTTAAAAAAAAAAGACAACAAATAAGTGTTTGCGAGGATGTGGAGGAAAGGCAAATCTTGTACGCTGTTGGGAGGAATGTAAATTGGTGCAGCCACTTTGGAAAACAGTATGGAGGTTCCTCAAAAAACTGAAGTACGTCTACTGTCTGATCCAGCAATTCCAGGTATTTACTGGGTATTTACTTGAAAATGAAAACACTAATTCGAAAAGATATATGCATCCCCATGTTCAGAGCAGCATTATTTACAATAGCCATGATATGGAAATAACCTGTATCCATCAATGAATGAATGGATAAAGAAGATGTGGTAAAAAATACAATGTAATATTACTTGGCCATAAAAAAGAATGAAATCTTGTCATTTGTGACAACATGGATGGACCTTGAGGGCATTATGCCAAGTGAAATAAGCCAGACAGGTAAACACAAATACCACATGATCCCACTTATATGTAGAATTTAAAAAGCAAAACAAACAACAATCAGAAAACCAAGCGCATAGACAGAACAAACTGGTGGTTGCCAGGGGCAGGGGGTGGACAAAATGTATAAAGGAGGTCAATAGGTATAAACTTCCAGTTATAAAATAAATAAATCATGGGGATGTAATGTATTGCATGGTAACTACAGTTAATAATACTGTATTGCATATTTGAAAGTTGCAAAGAGATTTTAAAAGTCCTCGTCACAAGAAAAAAAATTTTCTTGTAACTACGTATAGTGATGGATGTTACTAGGCATGTAACTAGTAACTAGACTTACTGTGGTGATCATTCTGCAATGTATACAAATATCGAATCATTATGCTGTACACCTGAAACTAATGTTATATGTAAATTATACCTCAACTAGATAAACAAATAATAAAAAGAAATAATATATTTAACTGCTAATTAGTATGAAATACCCAGTTACTGAATGGGTATCATTTCATCCCAAAGCCAAAAACCATGATATTTTATTTAGTCAGTGAAGCCTTGACACTCAATACATCACTGGACATTTCTCTCAGAATAATTTTTTTTAAAAACCCAGAGTTCTACAGACTTAAAGGTGATAGCTTCTGATATATATAACCACATATCAAACCCTTTTAGTTTTCAGATCTTTTCACTTTCTACTCCAAAGCACCTCATAAAATTTAAAAGGATAAATTGAGTAAATCTGATGAGGTTTCAATGAAATACAAGATAAATGAGTCTTGGGTCAGGAAGCAGGGCTACACTGGGCTTGGGGTACTGTAACTTTCCACAAGATAAATAAATTATGTGTTCTTGTCAAAGTTAATAATATAGACTGTGATTTAGATACCATACCAGGTTTGAATGAGAAAGAAGGAAGAAAGGAAGGGTGAAGAACAGAGTGATAAATTTGTAAAAGAGAAGCTATAGTCCTTAGAGGAAAATAGAAGTGGAAAAACAAGAAAAAGTAATGAGTAAGACACACTGAATCTGGGTCACACAGAGGATAAACTGAAGGGCAAACAAAAGGAAAGAAAAACAAACATTTTTACTTTGAATTTTAAGAAATCAAAATTAAAACATTACAAGTGTTTTACCCAAATGAAATGGAGATATATGGCACAAAAGATTAGAAGCTTTAAAACTTTACACATGAAAAAAAATGGGAATTTAATTTTCTACAGGAACACTGCAGTGGGTTAAACCACTGCCAAAGTCACAACCAAGCCACAGTCACAACCAAATGCCAATCAACTCAGGCTACTAGAATGGAGTGACTGACCCCACAGTGCTTGTGGACTCATGAAAATGAACAAAGGTCACAGCAGAAAGTTTCACCGGACACTATTAAAACAAAATAGTAAATGTATCACTGGAGATGAAAGAAGGGTCTCATTATTCTTCATTTACTCACATAGCAGTTCATAATCTTTTTTGGTTTTATTTTCCTATGGACCTGAGGTACAAAGGGTTGGGTTTAATCATACTACTTAGCTCAAGGCACATAGTCTGCTTTATATTTAACATAGTTCAGGAAACTAATCCAGATGAAGCCAAATGTGAAAAATCGATAACCCACGTATCCATGTCTCACAGACACCTGTCCAAATCCAAACAACTTCTCTATCTCTGGGACAGCAGCAGTGGCAGCAATCATGCACTCCCAGAACCACACACCTTGCTGGTTGAAGCAGGAAATTCAAAACATGAGCCATACTTACTCCAGTCAATACTGGTTAAGACTGATCTCTTTAATCCCAGGAGTTGAACTATATGAGAATACTTTAGGATCTGCTACCCTCTGTCTCCCAACCATGTAGTCTGACCCTATGTTTACCTCACCATTAAACTGGCTGTGGGTGGCAATAACAGAGAGATTCTTCTAAGAAGATTCAGCTGTCTCTTGGGAAATTGTATGAACCTGTCAAGATTCAGTCTTGAAGCCTTAGTAATTAGCTAAACTACGGAAGTTAAATTTATTGTAAGATAAAAAGTATATTTAGAAGATAAATGTTAAACAGTATCTCACCAGATGAAGTCTGGTTACTTCTAGGCTTACTAGCCTATCCTGCATTCCTACACTGACTATTTTTCATACCCTAGTTGGGCTCCAGTAGGATATGTAATATATTCCATCAATTCTTTTCACACTTTAACATCCCTGAAATCAAGATGCATCCTACAATCAATGACATGTCACAACTTTAATTGGCAGACTTTTTCTTTCTTAGTAGTACATATCAGTTCTAATTGAGGATCAGTTCTAATCTAAGGATTTAATGAAATATGGTAGAAAGTTTTCTAATCATTAAATCATTCATGTTAGCAATGAACAAATACTTATATATTACCTATTATATGCCAGACATCATGACAAATAGTATTTTTATGAATTTGTGTATACTTTTTTACAAACTGAAGCCAAGACAGGTAAAGTATAATATTAAAGAAAAATTGGTTTTCTTTAAAATCATTTAAAAAATCAGTAAAAAATTAAGTATCAAAATTAAAAGTGCTTACAAACTGCAAAATTCTAGTAAAAATACGAAAAATCCAAACAAGAATGAAAGACAAATCACTTAGTTCTATCAAAAATCCAAAATACTCAAAGTCATACGTAGCTCAAGATATTAGTATACTAAACTTCAAAAAGTTCTTTGACACTTTACTGAGAGAGAAACATCTTATTATTCACAAAGCCAGTTCTCTAATAACTTTACATTTTAACTCTGTAAAATACTTATTTATAAGGTAAGGTGACTCACTGAATAATGCCAAGTTCATCCAAAATAAGCCAACATTTCCAAAAAAGCCACTTACTGGCATGCGTTCTGTCACCCCTCCAATCTTAAAGTTCATTGTTGATCTCACAGTCTGGGCGCCATAATACTTATCATTTGGGACCTTGAGTTCACCAAAGGTATCATATTCTATCCGAAAAGAATTTTGGCTTGCCTAAAGATAAAGACAAGACACTGTTATAGCTTGAAAAGAAACCAAGTATCAAGAACAATAACATCATATAAACAATACATCATGTACAGGTAAAGAAACCTTAATAAGTACCAAAAAGATAAAAAAATTCCATTTTGATTCTCATTCTACTCCCCCCACTTCCAGCTTTTTTCTTGAGAAATTTTTGTCACACAAATTTATTAATACATGTGTTAAAGACAGATTGTAGAATTCATACACTATGCAAATGATAAATAAAAATAATAATCTTTTCCAATTCAGGAGTAGGCCTATTATTGGTCAAGCTTTGATGTACTTAGGTTAATGCTTATTTTACTGGGAACTTTGGAAAATGACCTAAGAATGATACTTTAAAATTTGAAAGTGTTATATATATATATATATATTATAATTATATATTTAAACAAAGCTCAACTATGGTCTACAAATATTATGCATGAGAGATAGCTTAGTGCCATACAAAACAGTCCAGGCTTTGCAGTGAGACAGCCCACCATCTGGTAGCTGTGTCACCTTCAGCAAGTCAGCTTTTCTCATCTATAAGTTACAGTAAATGTACAGACAAAGGGACATGGGCTAGATCAGTTCTTAACCTTTTCAGGGTGTTGGAACCTTTTGAGAATATGAGGAAAACTATGGATCTTCTCTCTAGAAGAATGAACATAAATACATATATGTAAAATCTTACATATGATTTTAAGGAGTTTATATCTTGAAACCAATCCACTCCCCAGGATAAGAACCCATGACCCCAAATCCCTTTTATGGAGAACCTAGGACGCTACTAAGTGCATCAACTTACACTAATTAAAAATATATATATACAAATCTGGAGTTTACATATGATACTTTACATTAAAGAGATTAAGAGTATCAGAGATACTCAGAACTTTAATTAATGTTCATCTTGCATTAATTATAAAATAAACATGGTCAGATGATTCAAAAGATTTAAAAACACCCAGCCAAGTAACCTTATTTTAGTAAACAATCCTCTGAATAAGAAAAAATTAATTTTGTAGTTATCCCCTGGGACTAGAAAGATTTAAAAATCCTTTATATACTATAAACCTTTTAGATTGCATGAAAAGAAAAGTATCCTTGTACCTAGTTAGAAATATAGGTGTATATCCAATGAGGTACATTTTTTTTCTATGCCTAAAAGTCTGCAGAGGAGGGGAGTGGCCAAGATGGCAGAGTAGGAAGACTCTGAGCTCATCTCCTCTCACGGGCACACCAAAACTACAATCATTTACAGAGCAATGATTGATGAGTAAGGCTAGAAAATTAGAGAGAAGACCTTCTACAACTAAAGATATAAAGGAACCATGGCAAAATAGGTAGGAGGGAGGAAGACACAATAAAGTCAAAACCTATTACCACTGCCCCCACCCCCTGAGGAGGGGTGACCCACAAACTGGAGGATTATTACAATTGCTGAGGTTCTCCCCAAGAAGCGAGGGGTCCAGGCCCCATGTCAGGCTCCCCAGCAGGGCAAAGAAGAGCCCCTTGAAAGTTTGGCTTTGGAGGCTAGCAGGGCTCATTTTTGGCCAGAGGGCTGTGGGAAAAAGAAACTCCACTCTTAAAGGGTGCACACAAAATTTCACACACTCTGGGACCCAGGGAAGAAGCAGTAATTTGAAAGGAACCTGGGTCAGAATACCTGCTGATCTTGGAGAGCCTCCCGGAGAGGTAGGAGGCAACTGGAGCTCACACTGGGAACCTACACACTGGGGGCAGCCACTAATGGGAGCTTGTTCTACCACAAGGACATCAGTTCTTGAAAGCACCATTTTGGAATACAGCTTATTAGTGCAGGGACATAGCTCCACCCACCAGCAGGCCAGCTGCCTTAAGACCTCCCGGCCAACAACCAAAGAGAGCTAAAGAATACAACAACTGAAATAAAAAGTACACTAGAAGGAATCAACAGTAGATTAGATGACAGAGAGGAACAGTTCAGTGGGCTGAAAGAATAGTGGAAATTACTGAAATTGAACAGGAAAAAGAAAAAAGGATGAAAAGAAACATGGGCAGTTTAAGAGACCTCAGAGACAACATCAAGTGTACTGGCATTCACATTACAGGAGCCATAGAAGGAGAAGACAGAGAGAAAGGGGCAGAGAACATATTTGAAGACATAATAGCTGAAAATGTCCCTAACCTGGGAAAGGGAAAGGACATCCAGGTCTGGGAAGCACAGAGAGTTCCAAACACGATCAACCCAAAGAGGACCACACCAAGACACACTTTAATTAATGGCAAAAATTAAAGATAAAGAGAGAATACTAAAAGCAGCAAGGGAAAAGCAACAAGTTAAGTACAAGGTAATTGTACTTAACATAAGGATTTCAGCTGAGTTTTCAGCACAAACTCTGCAGGCCTGAAAGGAGTGCATGATATATTTAAAGTGGTGAAAGGGAGAAACCTAAATCAGAAGACTCCAACAGGCAAGGCTTTCATTATGATTTAAATGGACTGATCAAAAGTTTTACAGACAAGAAAAAGCTAAGAGTTCAGCACTACCAAACCACCTTTAAATGGGTTTCTCTAAGAGAAAAAGGCCACAACTAGATGTATGAAAATTATGAAAAAAACATCTCATTGGTAAGGCTAAATATAGTAAAGGTAGTAAATCAGTCATGTACAAAGCTAGTAGGAAGGCTGAAACACAAAACCAGTAAAATTGTCTATATCCACAATAAGAAGTTAAGGGGCACACAAGACAAAAAGATGTAAAATACAATGTCAGAAACAGAAAAAGTATGTGTGGGGAAATAAAAATGCAGGGTTCTTAAAGTGCTTTTGCACTTAAAAGATCAGGAGCTGAAAATAATCATACATACACACACACACACATTGCAATATATAAACCACATGGTAACCACAAACCAAAATCGATACACAAAAAAGAGAAAGGAATCCAAATGTAATATTAAAGACAGTCATCAAATAACAAGAGAGCAAAGTAAGAAAAAAGGAACAAAAAAGAACTATAAAAACAACCCCAAAACAAAGGACAAAATGGCAATAAGTACATATCTATCAAGAATTACTTTAAATGTAAATGGCCTAAATGCTCCAATCAAAAGATATAGAGTGGCTGAATGCTTATGGAAACAAGATTCATATATATACTGCCTACAAGAGACTCACTTCAGATCCTGAGACACACACGGACTAAAAGTGACAGGATGAAAAAAGGTATTCTATGCAAATGGAAATGAAAAGAAAGCCATGGTAGTAATACTTACATTAGACAAAATAGATTTTATAATGAAGACTGCAACAACAAACAAAGAAGCCTATTACATAATGATCATGGGATAAATCTAAGCAGATATAACAATTGTAAATATGTATGTACCCAACACAGAATCACCTACAAATATAAAGCAAATATTAACAAACACGAAGGGAGAAAATGACAGGAACACAATAATAGTAGGGGATTTTAACACTCTACTTACATCAATGGACAGATCATCCAGACAAAAAATTAACAGGGAAACACTGGCCTTAAATGACACATTAGACCAAATGGACTTAATAGCTCTATATAGAACATTCCATCCAAAAGCAGCAGAATACACATTCTTTTCAAATGCACATGGAACATCCTCCAGGACAGATCACAAGCTAGGCCACAAAACAAGTCTTAGTAAATATAAGAAAACTGATATCATATCAAGCATCTTTTCTGACCACAATGCCATGAGTCTAGAAATCAATGACAAGAAAAAAAATTGCAAAAAACACAAACACATGAAGGATAAACAATACGCAGTTGAATAACCAATGGATAATTAATGAAATAAAAGAATACCTAGAGACAAATGGAAATGAAAACACAATGATGCAAAATTTATGGGACAGAGGAAAAGCAGTTCTAAGAGGGAAGTTTACAGCAATACACACCTACCTCAGGAAACAAGAAAAATCAAAAATCAACCTAACCTTACACCTAAAGGAACCTGAAAAAGAACAAAACCCAAAAGTCAACAGATGGAAAGAAATCATAAAGATCAGAGCAGAAGTAAATAAAATAGAGACAAAAAATTATGAAAGATAAATGAAACTAAGAACTGGTGCTTTGAAAAGATAAACAAAATTGATAAACCTTTAGCCAGACTCAAAGGAAAAAGAGAGAGGGCTCAAATCAATAAAATCAGAAATGAAAAGGAAGTTACAACTGACACCACAGAAATACAAAGAAACATGAGAGATTACTACCAACAATTATATACCAATAAAATGGCCATTAAGAAATGGACAAATTCCTTAAAATGTACAATCTCCCAAGACTGAACCAGGAAAAAATAGAAAATATGAACAGACCAATTACCTGTAATGAAATTAAATCAGTAATTAACAACAACAACAAACGAAAATCCAGGACCAATTGGCTTCACAGGAAAAATTCTACCAAACATTTAGAGAAGAGTAGCAACTATCCTTCTCAAACCTTTACAAAAAACTGCAGAGGAAGGAACACTTTTGAACTCATTCTACAAGGCCAGCATCACCCAGACATCAAAATCAGACAAAGCACAAAAAAAGAAAATTACAGGCCAATCTCTCTCATGAACACAGATGCAAAAATCCTTGACAAAATAGTAGCAAACAAAACTCAACAACACATTAAAAGGACCATACACCATGATCAAGTAGGATTTATTCCAGGATATAAGGATGGTTCAATATCCACAAATCAGTCAATGTGATATACCACATTAACAAACTAAAAACAAAAATCATAGAGTCATCTTGACAGATACAGAAAAAGCTTCTGACAAAATTCAATACCCATTTATGATAAAAATTCTCAACAAAGTGGGTATAGAGTGAACATACCTCAAAATAATAAAGGCTGTATATCACAAACCCACAGCTAACATTATACTCAACAGTAAAAAGCTGAAAGCATTTCCTCTAAGATCAGGAACAAGATAAGGACGCCCACTGTCATCACATTTAAT